TGCAGAGGGTTTTATTATACCACAGTACTGAATTTGTTATCTCATCTGAGCTTAGATTCTCTCTTTCAGGCCTTAATGCAGTGTTACTAAAATGACAATAAAACCAGAGGATGGTCTTACATTACAGGCAGGGCTGTGGGATCTGTAAACAGAATCTTCTCATAAGAAAAGTTATTAAATCTGATCAAGCTTCTGTCTGTCACAATAAATATATTCAGTGGTGTCTGAAAGGGCAGGGTGAGTGTAATGTGGGTGTCTGACTGGAGTATGAAAAGCTCTACGGACGACAAGCTGAATGGGAAAAACTAATGGATATGGATGGTACAATATGTTGTGGTTCAGAGCCCAGACCTACTGGGAAAATATTGGATGGATGGAGAAGGGCTGTTTCTGGGCAGGCACTTCTTCCCTGCTGGAGATCTCGCTGAGCAACTTTGCTAGGTGGGCACCTGCCTAGAAAGCCTGAATGAAATTTATTCAGTTGGGGACTGAAAATGGGTATTCATCCATAAGAAAATGTTCTGGAGTCACTGTCCACATAAGGGGTGAAATGAAATGGCATGTGGTATAAGATCTCTGTGTTTTACTTAAGTTTTAATGAAAAGTTTTCCTTCAAGATAGTTCAATACTTCTCTGGAACAGGAAACTTATACGAAAAAAGGTGATATGTTGATACAGGTCTTTCCAAGAGCTACTATTTCTGCTATGTTTTCAAGAGATGATTGAGAGAGTATATAATCTGATAGTGAGAAAAGCGAAAGAGATGCTATTTCTGTTGCCTGAAAGACTGATTTTGAGAAAATAGACTACTGGCTTGCAACCTTTCCCTCTGTAATATTTCCATAATTGGTTGGCATCTGAGTCAGTAAAAATCTGAACAGCCCTCAGCTGCTGTGTGTTTTAGGATTAATATAACAAACTCTGAAGCTTGCAGTGGGCAGAATCACATGAGGTCAGTATGCTGCTTTGGTAGATATGTAATTCTGCTTACAGTTACCAACATGGGCTGATCCTGTTGAAAGGTGATCATCTGAAGACTCATGTCAGAGTGACATGGGTTAGTGGACATGGTGGTGATGGGTTGACAGTTGGACTACATGATCTTAGTAGTCATTTCTAACCTTCATGATTTTATGATCCTTTGTTTGGGAGATGACCTTGAGCTCAACGTAGCATAAAGAACACTTTCTATTAAAACGTGTGCTCACATAACTCCACTAGCTATCTCCAACATAAACATTTTATGTAAACCTCTGAGCTGCCCAATTTTCCATTCGTTCTCCAGACTGGTGGGCCCAACACTGAGAGAGCAAATGTTTAGGAAATCTAAATGTTTTAACTTCATCTGTCTTTTTGAAGTCTGAATCACTAAGATACCAGTGTCCTGAAAAGGCTGGCCTTTGCTTCGGTAGCATAGAACAGCCTTAGGGAACCAGAGGGATGGACAGGTTTCTTTGATACCCATCTTAATTAACAATTAGAACAGCTCATGGAGAGTATTATTATGATTAAATAGATGAATTTAGAGACTGAACTTTGTGAACTCATCTGAAGCACAATCTGTGCTTGATGAAATGAAGCTGTGAAGCTGTTTACAATGATACTGTATTTTTTTCCAAAACACATAGGTGTTAGCTTCTCTGTCTGTCTGGATATCTTCAAAAGTGTTAAGAAGATTGGGGATTCTGATGATTTTTTATTTTGTCATAAGCTGTGCAAACATCTCCTTTGCAGCTTAATTTATAAATTACATCTCTGAAATGGAACAAATAAGCTTTTTTTGCTCAAGGTGAAGGGACTAGAAAATAAAAATTATGAAGACGAGCTGAGGGATTTTTTTCTTTGTCTGCAGGAGGCTGAGGGGAGACCCCATTGCTCTCGACAACTAACTGAAAGGAAGCTGCAGTGAAGTGTCAGACTCTTTTCTCAGGTGATAAATGATAGGATACAAGGAGATAGTTGGAAGTGGCACTTAAGGAGGTTTAGATTGCACATCTGGAAGAATTTCTTCGTAGAGGGTGAGGTCAGGCATTGTGATGGGCTGCCCAGGCCAGTGATGGAGGCCCTATCCCTGGAGATATTTAAGAGATGAGTGGACATGGAACTAAGGAAGATGTTTTAGTGACTTGGTAGGTCTTAGACTTAGGGACTTGGTAGGTCAGGTTGATGGTTGGAGTTGGTGATCCTGAAGATCTTTTCCAACCTCTATGAAAAGTAGACCTATTGGGTTAAGCCAGAGATCTAGTTAGCTTAGCAAATTTTTCTGAATTTGTCCAGTAACATATGCTTTAAACTAAAAGAAATATTATATTTACCTTCTTATAACCTCTCTGCTTCTGGAAATCAACTGTTATGCCCTTAGCTACATGACCAGAGAGTTAAAACTTGTCACTAGATCCACTGTTTGAAAATCAAATTCCTCTTTAGCTAATTTATATTTTATATAATACCCTATTATGATGAAGATCAGAATAGAATTATGCATTCTATAGAAAGATAGTATCCATTCCCTGATTTAGACTCAAGACCACAAGATTTCACTAGTGCTCCCTAGCAGTGTTTCTCATTCCCTGTCTTTGTAACCATTCCAATTTTGTATATATTTGATTCACATGCCAGGGATTGAAAGAGTAGAAGGAAATAAATGCACTCTAAATATTCTAAATAATATTTTTTAAAATGCCAGTCATTTTAGCTAAGGTAGCACATCCAGGTTTGATTTGAAGAAGAGATTTTGGGCCTTTGTAAAATTACCCTGTACCTATCCATACTATGAGGTTTGTTAACTGTGTTGCTGAGTGTTCTTAAGCACTTTTTCAGTGAGACACAAGAACCTGGCCAACTACAAATGTCACACCGTCTATAACACTGACTTTGCATTAAGATAGCATCAAACCTCTCTCACTCGGCCACATGGCCATGCACACATGAGCTCAAAGGTGCAACAGACAAACCCATAAGCCTATTCCTATCTAAATTTTAGTTTGATTTCCAAACAGAAGACTTCTACTGGGATTATTGCAACCCTGTTTATCTGGGCTGAACTTCTTCCAGATAAAAAAAAAGTAAAAATGTACTGTTAGGCAGCTTTCTGCACTTCTTCTTGAACACTAAAAGAAGGGAAGACTAAACGGAATTGCTGATCACTAAAATATACATACATGTAAATGTACTCAAATGCCACATTTTACATCATGAAGTTTAATCTAAGTGCAAACAGTTTTTCCTTTTATGCTCTTTCAAATACACCTTTACATTATCTCTTTCCAAAAAGGTCCTCAATTTTCTTCTTCTTCTTTTTTTTTTTTTTTAATTGACAAAAGCAGATTTTTAGCAAACACTAACAATAGAAAATTTGTTCCCAAATGGATACAACATCTCAGTCTGTAATTATGCTATTTCCTCCATACTGAAACAAACAGTGACATGAGTAGCTGGAAGATTAATGTTATGCTGATGACAAAAATGGAAAAACAATTTGGGGAATCGGGAGGTAATTAAATTCTTGACAGACTCACTTGAATAAGGACCATTAGTTATATGAATGAATTATTCCCCTGAGGCTTTGATTATATACAGGAAATAAGCATTTAACAAGTGATTTCACTGGCGATATAAAGCATATTATCTCCCCAAATAAATGGCAAAGTTAATTTACAGGCTTGCAGAGAGTGGACATTTCAAATGTAAAAATGTAGAACTGACTCCTTAACAAACACAGGGAGATTAAGATTTCACAATGCTGTTTATTGCATATTTTATACCAAGCTGAACTCTGATTCCACATAATAAATAAATAAGGAAAACTTGTTTCAACCAGTGCAATTATTCTCCTTTTGCAGTGAACTCAAGAATTGTTTGGTATGGCAGTAAGGGAAGTGTTTGCAACTCTGAATTATTATTTTGCTGGAATGCAGAAGCTTTGGACCCTCTCCATTAGAAACCGTATTGCAACAAGAGGAACTTCTCACTCTGGTAATCTGCTATGGCTGAAGTAAAGGAACATGATTATCTAGGACAAAGGAAGTATTTCCATTCCCATTACAAAGGAAAAATAAAGTAAGAAAATGTTAAGAATGAGGATTTTAAATGGGCAGGGGACCTCCAGAACTGCAGGTCTGAAAGGGATCTGCTGAATCACTGTTTTGCCCCTTTGCTAGTCCCCACCTATGACTTTGTCATTTCATCATGCAGATTTGGTGCTTCCCTGTGTTTTCTAAACACAAATGGGACTTTCTTTGCTGGTGGCTTCAGCCAAACTCTCGTTTTGCTCTGAAACCCTCACTTGTAAATCCATGCACATCAATTCAACTGCTTTCAAAATCAAATCCCTGCAATGCTGATGTCAAGTATTTACTACTGCTGCAAATGTAAGCTACGCTTCTGCAGAGAAAAATACCTTCACAGTCAGGACTGTAGGTATTTTTCACATTCAGACTTGCCAGCTAGAACAGCAGTGTGTAAGGTGTTGGGCATCAGAGCCGTGAGCTGATTGTTGGGCACAGTAATGACAGCAGAACGGCGGCAGCAGAAATGCTGCTCTGGCTGCATAGCACTGGTGGAAGGGAACTTGCAGATTTGGTGCTGGCTGGCCCCATTGTGAAACACACCCGTGTTCAATGTCTGTCACAACTGTCAAAGCTGTGAGTCCCCAGACCTAAAATTTGCATCCAGAACTCTAATATTCAACCTTTTTTTTGAGATGTAACAGTTTTCCAAGTCAGGGAGTTTACATTTCTTTTTCTGTTCCATTAAACATATACCAATGTGCACTGTTTTTTGAAGTCTTTTCTTCTCTAACCTTCCTTTAACTAAAACTGCATCTTCCAATTAGGAGGCATTGTCAGTCAGTATTATTCTGAAAAGAATAACTATTTAGAAGATCACTGTATTATACCCTTGTATACTCAAGATTCCTTAAGCTGCAGAAATTTTATCTACTCGTAAACATACAAAATGATTAAAAAGTGCAACTTCAAAAGGTTTCATTCTTTACATACCCCTTTTGCATCAATGACACCAGGCTTTGCGTTGAACTTCACAGTCTTCAAACGGGCACGCTCCTTCCTTTCCACTCTGTGGGAAACAAAAATAAAGAACCACATGTTGGTTGGAGCAGTGTTTTCTATGATGTGTCTGATACACAATCTGCTAAGACCACATGGTACATGAAGTGAACACCAAAAGCAAATTTTTACAGATAGTAAGAGATGTGAGGTCACTTCCTCAGCCAATCACAGAATCATAGAATCATTAAGGTTGGTAAAGACCACGAAGATCATCTAGTCCAACCATCACCTCATCACCACCATGCCTCCTAGGCAGCCCATGAGCAGCATTCTGCTGGCAAACACAGATCTGGCTCCAAAGATCCTTGGTTTTCTTACATTAACTGAACAGCGCTTCCTCCCAACAAGCATGCAAACTAAAGAGACAAAGTTTCACCTGATGAGTTAAAATGTAAGACACTTCATTTGATAGAGGATTCTTAGCACTTCTCTCTCTGTCTTTACCCCATTTTCCAACTGTTTCCAGCAGTGCCCCTTATTACTGTCTTCACTGCAACTAAAAAGCAATCCAGTAATGAAAGAGAATAGGTTTCAATGGTATCAGTGAATTGATTAGCCAAGTGAGATGGTCAGATAAACACTGTAGCTGACTAGAGCAGACTGGAATAGGATGCTCCCTTCTTTATGTTTCAGAGCAAACTTTGCCTTGATTCTCAAAAAATACAATAATAACAAAAAAAAACAAAAAAAAAACAAAAAAAAAAAAAACAAAAAAAAAACCCACCCAAAAAATCCAGCAGAAAACAGCATCCATCCACCACACACAGGCAGATGGTTTGACCACAGCTTTGTAAAGCCCTTTTTATGTATTTAAATCTTTTCACTGTTTAAACACGAAGTTCTTCAAACTTGTCTTTACCAATATCAAAGGTTTTTTAAAGGTCTTGCCCTCAGCTTGCTCTGCAGAGTGCATGCTGGTTCACTGAATTTTCTGAGTTCTGGTTCACTGAGTTTTCAACATGCTGTCCTTGGAACCTTTCTGTTGCTGATTTTTGAAATGAATTCTAAATTTGTCTTCTGAAAGATGGAGGTATGCTATTTCTTACAATATTCAAGTGCATAGAAGCTTGCTTCAGGTTTTGCTTATTTAAAACTACAGTTTTTCCCAAATGAGCTCATTTGAGCTCATCTCATCTGAGGAGAGATACAAATGCTCCAGGACAGAATAACTATTTTCAGCCACCCTAAAATGCTATGAAATAGGTGGGTGGTCTTTTTTTAAAACTATTATCTCCATGGTAGCAGCATGGAAATAATTTTTTTTTTTTTTTTTTTTTTTTTTTTTTCTGATTTATTTCAGTGAAGTGGGTGGATTCTGAAGACAAATATGTGGTTGGACTTGATGATCCTTAAGGTCTTTTCCAACCTGAGCAATTCTATGATTCTATGTACAGGCACCAAATAACCAAATAGTGTAGCCATGTAAGAAAAAATGTAAATGATGTATTTCAGTTTCTTTGGTCTATTTCCAGTTTGGTACCAGGAACTGACCACTCATTAACAGATGGATGCATTGGGTGAGCATATCTTCAAGATCAGTTCAATGCAAGTGAATCTAGTGTCAAGGGAGCTGCAGAAGAGGAACCAAAGTGCAGAAGCAGAAGGCAAGAAGGACATTTGTGTTGACAGCTCTCTCATGGGCTGAGCTGGGAAAACAGAGCAGACAGCCCATGTGTGCCCACCTCATGGGACCGAAGAGCCCAAACTGCAGTGTGATATAACACACAACTTGCCTCAGCCTGCACCATTCTGGCAATTCTGTTTTTAAAGGAAGTTCAAATGTTCCAATGAAAAGCCTCAGTGATTATTTGATCCTAACATTGCTATAATAAATACAGTTTTGGAAAGGAGTTGCTACCTTGTATATGCAACACCTTCACAGTGAGAAAATACCAAGTTCTCTTCAGGAGACAATTATTTTTAATAGAGAAAAAAAAAATCATTGACAATAAGCTAAAGCCTGGCAAATTCAGATTAAGAAAAGCACAAAATTTACTTTCTAATGGTTAAGAAATTTAGCCATTAAAATAGCACAGAAGAGGTGTATCTGGCATCCATATCTTAGAATCTTGACTGGAAAAACACAATTTCCAGTCACCAAAGTCAAGGAAAAAAAGATACACAAGATAGGCTTACAAAGGAGATGAGACAGTGTTCCTTTTCCGTCTTTAAATAACATGGATCGGTATTAAAAGTTTCCATTATTTGGTGAATGGGCATAATTTTAAAAATGTCTGTAAACATTAAAATCTATCAGCACAGAGAGACATGTGCAGCTAAAATTTTACCTGTCGGTGAATGATATGGTAGATTTTGAAAGTTCATCCCATCTACAAGATTTACTCATGGTGTATATTTGACTTTTTAATGCAATATGCTCGAATAATAACACCAGTAACTCTAAAAATGATCTGAGAAAGGGTGAGCTCTCTACTAAATGCAGTCAAACTCCATGAAAGGCACAAGCAGAGAGAAAAATCTACTGCAAAGGAAATCTACTGAAAGGAAAAGCTACTATTGTCCTTACCTTGACTAATACAGTCATAACTATAAAGATAATACTTACTACCTTTGCAAAATCATCTACAGGATCTACTGCCCAGATCACCTATAATTGAAACAGTAACACTGTTTGTCTAGAATTATGAATTTCTCTAGAAAATTTAAGACCAGTCCTGCAAAGCTAGCTTGTAACAGCTCAATATAGTATTTTTATTAGACAATAAATTATCTGGAGAGAAAAATGAGGTTTATTATATCCTCTAAATTGGTCCAAATATATGTCTTTTTGTAACTTGCAGAGTTTTCCACAAATAGTATACAAATATATTCTCTTAAACCTGGTTTCTAAGTCTGTATAGTAAGACTGCTTAGTTTTTGGTAATTTTTTTTTAAATACAAACTCTATTCTTTTGATAGAATGATAATTAGTACAGCATGTTTCCTTCTGTCTGAGTGGGATTATATATTTCCTACTGAAACACAGTGAATGCTGGTTACTATAGCTACAGTTTAAATTTAGAATAAATGCATTTCTCTGTATGTGTGGAATATTCACATGGAAACAGCTCAAATGCAGCTTTTAAATTAAATCTGTGTTATTAAAACCACATGAACAGTTTTAAACTCAAACTAGCAGATGAAGTCCCCTGATAATATCAGTAAGAAATGAAGACTTGAGGCTGTATAATTGCCTAAATAGCATGGATGCCTTCTGAGAAAATAACTACCTCAAAAGAACACAGCATTCAACTTATTAATCTGTGTTAACATTTAAACTCATGCCAATTCTTTCTGACTTCCTAAAACATCTGCTTTTAACTTCATTTCTTTTTCGCTGCATAAAGAAAGTTGAAAAGTAGCGTTGAAGAGTGGACCTTATTTATGAAATGCTTCGTAATTGAATTAGCAGCAATGGTGGGTATGGCTGCACTCTACAGCCAGAGAAGACAAGATGATGGCTGCACTCTACAGGCAGAGAAGACAAGATGAGGAATGACAGAAACATTCTACATTGCTTTGAGTAGTCCATAAATAACATCACTGAGTGCCATTAATCCTCCAGGAAAATGTATCAACAGTGTTCATACATGCTTATAATACCTACTGAATATTACAAGCATCTCATAATTTACACCTCTGTTGAAGAAAGCACACAGTTTTGTTCTTCATTACAATTTTTCTGACACTTTCTACAATACTGGTCTTTTCAGTTATTATTTAGCTGAACCAAAAACTTCCAAGTTGAAATTTTATGTGTCTCAGGACAAATACAATACTGCTGCTGCCTGAAGTATCATTGAAATGGGTTAACTCTTGGAGAAAGGCTCAGATAAAACAGATGGCTGTGCCCAGGATATAAAATTCTTTTAAAGCACTTCTGCTCAGGTGCTTTACTGCCTTCACAGAATCATAGAGTCATAAAATGACTTGTTGGGTCGGAAGGGACCTTAAAGCCCATCCCGTTGCAACCACCTTCCATGAGCAGGGTTGGCCTCCATCAGCTCAGGCTGCCCAGGACCTCATCCAACCTGGCCAACATCTCCAGAGATGGAGCACCACAGATTCTCTGGGCAGCTGTTCCAGGGCCTCACTACAGGAATAGTTTCATTTATTGGGTGAGGGACTTGAGGTATGACAGGAGGTTGCTCTGGTATCAGGAGTACACTTCTATTTTCTGAAGAAATCATGTCACTATCCAAATGTTTGAAATGCTTTGTTTCATTGTGTGTTCTGGAGAAATCTGATAAAATTTTGTTATCTAAAGATTTTGTCTTGAGTGACCACAGGGTAGATTGCAGTGAACTGAAGTTGTTTAATTTCTCCTTATAGCTACTGTGTCATTTCTTTTTTTTTTTTTTTTTTTTTTTTTTTTTTTTTTTTTTTTTTTTTTTTGCCAGAGAGTCAAAAAGTGAGTGAAAAATGTTTGGAATTATGAAAATAAAAAATATTGAATATCAATTTTTTAATGTATCTTTTTGTATTTACATTTATTTGATATAGCTCTCAGAAATATATCTTAGTAAATATTTAAAAGGAACACTACTTTGAGCGCTTTTAGTATGTATCTTCAGTTTTGCAATTGCTACATTTTGACAAAAAATAATCATGATTCCTGTTATCACCAGGACAAAATGGGGTTAGGCACAAAGAGTTTTTCACAGCAGCTAACGTGGTGAATGCCTAAATAACAAAGGAGTGTAAATTCTTCACACTCCTCCATTCCTTTGGCTGCTAGAAAAATCACTATCCCTTAGGCAACACTTTGAACGATCATCAGAGGAAACCACTTTTAAAGGAAGAAATGTTTCATTTAGAATGGTATCCATTTTTTATTTACTATTGCTGCACAAAGTAGGATTATAAACTGGTTGTGAGAAAGATTAAATTAAGGGGAACAGTTTCCATCTGCCAAGTTATGCAAAGACTCAAATGTGCAACCAAGGATTGGCTAATATACACATTAATCTCACGCCCCTTTCTAATCATAAATCTACTCAGTAGAGT